ATCAACCACCATGTACAAGAGGAGCAATAATGGCTGACAACCCGCTGAGCAACTATGGCATGCCATCCAGAACAGCAGGGGATGGCGCTGAGGCATCCTGAAGGTCACGAAGGCAAGCTAGGTCAGCACCAGCAAAACTCATCTTCCATCTCGTGACAAGAGAAGCTTCACTCATGCTTGCACAAAGAGCACTGTGACAAATCCTGTCACAACACTGAGCAGTTGAGCAGTGACAAATCCCGGGAACCATGCCCGCCCCCTATTGTCTGGCAGAGTTTTGACCTAAAGTGAGGATCCTGTGCCGCGTGTGGCTCATAGTGAGATTGGGGCAGCCACAATAGGGCAAGCATGAAACCGCAACAACATGCTCCGCAACAGGCCCATTTTCCCGCGGGGTCGACCGCTTCTTGCCCGTTCGCTGGAACTTGGTCCGGGTGAGTTTTTAGGGACCGCCAGTCCGCCGTTTTTTCAATTTGATGGCGTCCAGCCGACTACTGCCCTGCCTGGTGCTGCTGGCGCTGCAGGGAGGCTCAGTGGGGACCAGCGAGTGTGCCTTCCGTGCCGCCCTTTGCTGCAAACACTGCGACAGTGACCATGGTTTAGCCACGTGACTGGGGAGCACCGGTACACTTTGCAAAGGGGCTCGACACTCACCGAGAGGTGCATAGTGACAGATTCATGCCCCACACTAGGACAACTTGCCCAGAGTACTGGTAATTGAACACTCACAAGCTGGTTTGGGTGGCCATGCAACTAGGGGTCAACACTTGGCGGCTTTTGTTCAGAGGGCTGCTCGAAGTTGCTGGCGAGTATTCATTGGACAACTGGCAACTGGTTGCCAAGCCCGTGACTTTGCCTCGAAGATTGTTGTCCTTCTTGAGATGTCAATGCGCCACATGGCATTGCCTGTCTGAACATCTTGCTTCGGTTGCCTTCACTCAACTGTGCGCTTGGCTTCCACCCATTTTCGTCCGGCCCCCAAGCTTGACGCTTTTTGCGTTTCTTCAAGCTGAGGTTGGGTTCGCTCAGCTTTTGCAGCCCAGCGGCACCCGCGGCGCGAGCTCGCAGTGCTGCCCTGAATGAGATCAACCTGAGTCCCATCCACTGAAACATTCTGAACATATTTATTCTGGTTTCCCTTTTGCACACTATTTGAAAGGGGTCTTCCATTTTTGGACGCCTTCCGTTCTTATTTCTTGATGAGTGTTCCCTTGGCTTCTTTGAGCAACCGAAACGGGGCCCCTTGGGTTTCTCAACACGGGGGGACCCGGTCCCGAGGCTTCGGCCTCACTGGGCCGCGGCTCGAGCACACGCCACGGCCGCTGCCGCCGGTGAGAGCTGGGGCCGAGGCAGATCCACGCAGGGAGAGTCGCATTGCGAAATCACCAGAGAAACCCGGCCTCCGAAGTCTGTGGCATGTGCATTCTGCCTGATTGGAAAAGCAATGGGGCCGCAAGTGTAGGACTGCTTTGAGGTATGCCAAGACTTTTCCCAAGCATGCCGATCCCGGACAGGCTGAAAAGCCAGAAGAAGGCTCGATCGGGGGTGCCCTGCTGTCCCTGCTAGGAGGAGCTGCACGTGGCCTTCGGTGTGTTGTTTTTCGGTGCTTTGGGTTGGCAAGTCGTCCTTTTTGGGTTAGGCTTAAAGAGAAAACAATGAACCCAACGGTGGGTCCCCACCCATTTTGAAGGTTTCCCATTTGAACATTTCTTTCCTGTGGAGTTGAGCATTGGACAGACTTCATGCCACATGGTCTCAGGAGTCGCATTTTGGGCCGTGCTTTATTGGATTTTCTTCAAGGCGTGGGCCCTGGGAAGGCGCTCTGCGTACTCGACAGTGTGGATACTCTGGCAAGTCCACAACGCTTCGGGGTTGACAGGGTGATCAACTTGCATTCGGTATATTCGGTTGTTGTGTAATCCAGACACAACTCATATGGGTGTGGTTCAAAATTCAACAGGAGGGGTTACGCAGGTTTTGGTCCATGTTTCCACTTACCAGGGTTCCATTTTGGTACCGGTTTGTTGAGCCACGACAGCTAGAATCCCACGAAGAGGGCCATGATCATCCGTCCGGTAGGGCGGATTGAGATTGTCGGTCCACCTAGGCCACTGACCACTTGACCAACATCGTGCAGGCGGGTTTCGGTGAGAGCTCGTGGAGTCGTGCCCCTCGGGAAGCGATCACGGAAGCTTTGGGCTGAATCAAAGGATGCGGAAAACAGACGGCGTGTCGATTGGGGTTCACCTGGCAAGGGAGAAGTGCCCCCAAGGAGGCAGGTCTTGGTCTTGACGACCATCGCCTTGTAGAAACGCGTGTGATGGTTTTGGGAGAAGGCCAGACGAAAACGGGTCCCACTATGTCCCATTGTTACTTGTATTTGCAGCTCGGCTTGCTCCCGTGGCAGCACTCTTTCCTCCAGTTTGCCCACTACCCAGTGGGTGGTTCTTTTGGCGGGTTTACAAAGGGGGGTTCTTTTTGGCACGGTGCTATTTTGGTCTGTACAGCAGGTGCCCAAATACGGTCGCCACAGACTCAGCCGCCCCCTCTCTGTCAGGGCTCGCCGAGGCTCGAGGTTTTAAGCTTCGCCATCCTAGGCGAGGCTTGCGATGTCTGCTTCCTTGCACAAGACGGCACGCCACTAAATTAATCTTCGGATCTTCGCCTTACGGTTTTGGCGACTTCGGCGGTACAAAATGGGCAGCTTAAATGTGCATGATGTGCATGATGTGCATGTGAGCCCCGGTGGACCAAGATGTTCGACTCATACATTCAGTCAGTGCTTATCATCCCAGTTTTTCCCTCCTGTCTGGACATCTTTTAAGATACCGTTGTTTGACACGCACATCGAATCTTGATCAATATCCTGTCTCGATTTTAATTGGAATTCCTCTTGTTGTTTCAATTGAATTTGCCCAGCCCGGGTTTCCGGTCGCCGACTGACATGGCTGCAAGGTTTCTTGCCCTTGGTCCTGGTGCAGACGCTCGGCTTGCACGGATGGTAGGACAGCCAGCATGTAAAACGCGACAAAGTGCACACCAGAAGGCAAACAAGGCACACCTACAAACAGTGGTCTTTCCAGGATCATATTGCGTGCTGGGGATCAAGCTCCTCAATTGAGACTGAGTCATTTCCATGGTGTGACGGAAGGGCGAGCTCTTTACTTGCATCTCACTTTGCTCGTTTCGCTGTGTTGTGTACTGGGTAGCATGTTCTTGTAGGTTGAACGCATGCAGAGATAGAGCCCCACCTGGACCCAGAGATGAGTGGCTAACCCCTAATGTGCCCAACATTGACCTCAGGAAGTATTTCTGCTGAGAACGCGCCGAGCTGCAGACTGCTTGGGCTTGTAGGCAGATTTGCGGTTACATGCGAACGGCGTTGCATATATATATATATATATTAAACCATTTACAGCTTCAAAGCCATTCACTCAAGGACCAGACAACTATGCAGCCGAACCCATGCAGCCGTACGACCAGCAATAGCAGGCAAAAGCATGCAAGCTCAAAAGGATCAACACAACTAACTCAAGCTGGATCATGACCCTGTAAGTATATGAGATGTGGGTTCCTTTGACAAAAACCAGGGTTATTATCCTCTGCGAGTAAGAATATCGTTTAACCGTCTCATGCGGCTGCTGACAGGCGGCTTCTGTGGCAGGCCATTTGAAGAAGGGTGATTTGGTGTGGCTATGGCCGAGGCTGATCCAACCCCGGTGTTTCCGAGGAGGGAACTAGGAGACAAACAAACAAAAGTGGCGGGCAAAAGCCTAATTCAGACCCGCCACGTTTATGTGCTCGGCAGCTTGCCCAGCTGAGCCGCTTTTCCGAATGCCATGGCGTTCTGGACGCGATGAACATAAATGCTTCTGACACCGGGGAGCCTGCGGTGTTGATCCGAAAGAACAACTCCCAAGATACCGACGCTGAGCACAAGCTGGCAACTTTCTGAGTTTCTGTCTGACCTTTCGCGCCCCAAAGCCTTATATACAGGCAAAAAAAAATCCTCCAAACCCGAGCGGCACGGAGCTGCATGTTCGGCCGAGAGCAAGGCACTGCGAGCCAAGGCCAGCTTTGGCTTTGCTCTCTTGACGAGCCTAACCATCATCACGGTATGCAGCTGGGCTTTTCACCAGCTCCACTGGCGGTTCCCCAGGCTTTACGATGCTGGGGAGCCGCTCGGTGGGCAGTGCAAGTCGTGGTGGGTGATGGGGCGGAGTTGGTGACATATCACATAAGTACATCTTAAACATGCAGTGGTTCAAGTGAAGCAAGCGAGGAACCGCACTTTGACACTCCCGTACAGGCTGTGATGATAAGATGGTTTCATCAGTGTCAAACAAAACCAGGTGGTTGTGCCCGACCTTGCGAACCCCGCCCACTTTCCATTTTGGCAGATTGGGTTAATGTTGGGTTTCGTTTCATCCTCTGAGTTCGCAGCTGCCTGCGGTGACTGGCCATTGCGGCTGGCTGCGCGCAAGCTTTTCCATGAGGCTGGGAGATATCCGAAGGGCTTCCCAAGGCACCATGCTCTTCTCCCAAAGAGTGACCCATCCAGGTTCGTTTGTTTTCCCGCCCACCAAAGAATCACAGCAGTTTCAACAAGGCTGCTCAACTTTCGGACATTCCCTCGCTTGCTATTTGCAGCTGTGTTTGCGCTTGGGAATTGCAGTTGTCCTTGTACATTTTGGTGCGGTGCTGCTTTCGCGGCTCTGCGAGTTGGCACTTTTTAGTCACGCGGATGCGGGTTGAGCTAGGGTACTTCAGCAATCGGAGTATTTTCTCTGCATTTTTGCGCGTGTGCCTTGGTTGGGGGGGTTCAGGGTAAAAGCGTTTACTTTGCCTGCAGTGGGCTCATGGAGAACTCAAATCTCCCAAGAGGACATATGCAACCCCGGTGGCGCCTTTTTCAGGTTTCCCACAAAAACCGTACACAACACAATCCCAAATGGATCCGGCTCTGGATTGCCGTCCAGAGGTGCGATTTTGTTGCCTTGTTTTGAAGGTTTGGAGAGAATCTCCCAAGTCCAGTCCCGGAAAAAGGTGCGCTTTTCTCCCCCGACTGGTTCAGGAAAGAGTAATCACCAAATCATAGTCTCAAAAACAAGGAAGAGCAGTGAGACGAACAGAGGAATCCACCAAAAGCGCATCCAAAAGCAACTGGGTTTGTCTCAAAATTAAACTGGGGTTGCGCAGGTAATAGACTTTGGTTCTATTTGCTAATGTGCCACTTTGGTACATTCCTTTGACACGCAGCCAAGTGTCTAGATGAACACGCAGAGCGTCTCAAAGTGCTGCCGCTTGCGCTAACCTTTTACAACCAACGATGGGTTGAAGCAGGGCCCAGCTCTCCCCTCCATGCGAGTGGGTCTTTCCTGGCTTCGAAACTGTCGGGTTCCTTTTGCCTTCCCTTCACCGCCAAAACGACTCGGAACCCTTAACACAAGACAGGCCCATGTGAACTGGCAACTTATTGGCAGACTATTGGTTTGGGGAGGGGGAGGCCCACCCACATGCTGGAGGTGAACAAAGGCGCTGAGCTCGAACCATCCCAAGCCAAAGTTGTTTCGCTGAGCACCGTTTTTGACACCAAAGTGGACACTGTAAAAAATGGGGTAGTTCTCATCATGACGCCCAAATTGCAGGGCTTCGAAAGCAGCGCGGTACCTACTTTTTCGTGTATGCCAAGACAGGCCGTCGTGTGTCAAGGGACAAAAGACCAGGCTAGACACTGCCATGGAGCACGTGGGCATGGATGAGGCGATGCTTCTTGAATATTCGCACCTGGGGATGAAGGCTGGGAGACAGATCGGAGGCATCATTCTTCTCTCGTGCACTGCCAACGCAAGAGGGTTTCTGTAGTTTTTAGATTGGGATTTGTCGAAATAAGGGGATTTTAGATGAGGCTTTGTTTTGATATCCCTTTTTACCCCTTGTTAAAAGCGGGGAATGCGTTTCATTTGCATATTTCATCTGGATATCCCTCCCCCCCCCCCCCCCGTGGCCGGCACAGGCCATGTTTGGCATCGGCTTGCCGGCCCTGGCAATCCTGGCGCCGCTGCATGCGCGGGCCACCGGCGCTGCGGACGATGAGCTGAGCAGGATTAGCGCCTCGCGGCGTTTGGGATGTTGGGGGGTGGTTTCTCATTTGTCTCACATCAAATCATTGGGGTTTGTCATTTATCGGCTTCCCTCTCATGGGTGGTTTGGAGGTTAGGGGGTTGAACACCCTGTCCTCTACAAGAACCGCGGCTTCAAATCATTTGGGTGTGTTTCTTTTGCAAGGGAACCCCCCCAAATGGTGGTTCCTTTTAAACCATGCAAAAAAGGAACCTTCTGAAAAAAGAAACAAAAACACTAAGTCCTAAGGCTTGACTCTCCACAAACCAATCCAAAGTTCAAAGGGAATCGAAGAGAAAACCCCACATTTTGAGGGATGCCCTGTTTTAGGTGGGTCAAGAATCCTTGGCAATTGGCAGCCATTGCTTCGTGCCGGAAGTAAGGGAGACCTATGAACACCTTTGTCCGAGTCGATGTTGAGCTTGGGCTTATGCGGGCTTCCGAACCCCAGAAGCCGGAGCAGAGGGCTGAGAGGGTTCCGCTGCGTCCAGCCGACAGGTCTGAGCAATGCCACGACAGAGGAGTGGATCGTTTGGGTGCATGCCTTCTTCGTTTGGTACGTGGTGCTCTTCATTCTTTACCTGGTGGGGACCTTATTTTTCCAAGGCGAAGGTCGAATATTGAGGTGTGTTCAAGCCTGTTTTGCGCGATTTGGAGGCAGTCTGCCCAGAAGCAGCTGAGAAATTTGATCCAGCAGTGAGAGAAGATGGGCCTTTGGTCGTTGGTCACAAGTGCGACGGTTACCCAAGATGCTCTTGGCGGCTGTCTGTTGCTTCTTTCAAGCTTGGGCTCAGATGGGACGATGGGGATCCACCCTCAAAGGTTACCCGCCCACTGGAGTTCCTGCACGGGTGCACGGGTGCCCATCGACCTATGGCAAGGTCTGGCATGCCCAGCGCCGGAAGTTCCGGCCTCGGCGCAGTCGTAGCTTGGCCGCACGAGTCGTGGGGTGTCTTGGAAAGGTCCTTTTGCCTTGGCGAGAACAGTGTGGAACCCTAGGGAAGCCCTCATGCAGAAAGAAAGGTGCCAACCCATATTTGAGTCATGTCAGGGTTCTGAGAAAAGGGACCATGCCATCTCCACTGGTGCAGAAACGGCACACTTCATGGAGCGCCCACTTTTTCGCCACACATGTCCCACTGACTGCTTCAACAAATCCAAAGAGACCGGGAAGCGGGCAGGAGTTATCATTCGATGTGGATTGACTGACGCAACTGAGAGGGTCCACTTGGGGTCACAGATTAATTAGAACGTGCAATTTACATAGTTCAAATGTTGGTTCAAAACACGTATTGAAAGACGTGTTTTGCGAACACATGTCCACGAGGATGCCATGTTGGCCGAACATTGCAAAGCAAAACACGAGGGCGCACCGTGCAGATGGCAGTTCCCTGGTCCTTTTGAGTCACTTGAATGGGTAGACTGCGGCAAAGCAGCAGTCGAAGCCAAAGTTCATATTTTGCGGGTTGTGGAACAATCAATTCTGTTTTGGCTGTCGGCCGGCCGGGTGCCCGGCCTCCATTTTACGACCCCCCGCCAGAAGCTTCCTGCAGAGACACGAGTTGGCACCAATCCGGAAGTTTTGATGTGTTGCTTGCCAGAGAAGCATGACTGTACGGAATATGTCAAAACCAGGGACCACCCACATGGTTGGCGACCTGTCGGATCTTGACACTATTGTTCAACTGGCAGTAAAGCGGGCAGTTTGTCCTCGAACATGACACCGAGGCTGGCTGGCCTCGGTGCCTGAGCCAATGGCCACCACACTGCTGGTGGAAGGCCGGGGGAGTTAGCCCAAGGTCACTTGTGGTGGATCAGGGGATCTCAGTTGTTCAGGCTCAGGTTTTTCATAATTTGTTTGGGTTTCCTTCCCTTTTCAAGCAATCAAGCAACTTCTTTCCCGTAGCCACCAGGCAAGGGGATGTGCATCACCCGCGAAATGGGGCTTTCAAAAGCGTGTCAGGCGCTGGTGAACCAGGGAGGCCGCCCCCAAAAACACGACGAGCATGCAAAACGGTCAACGGAAACACGGCCCCCCCCATAGTTTGGTACCTGGCTTGGTGTTACCCTCCCGTCCATGTTGCAGAGCTGGTCGCTTTCAATAGAGGGGCCTGTGTCAGGTTTCAAGCGGTTGAGTCGTCTGAGTTTGATGGCCAATGTTTGGAAGGCTAGACTTCTCAAACTTGCGGAAACCCCTGTCTTGCTTGCTTTTGCATCGAGCTGGTAGAATCGAACTGATTCAAAAGCCCTGAGGTTCTGGATGGGTAGATGATATGCGCCAAGAACTTTGAACCTGAAGAATCCACGACAGCATTTTGGGCTAGAAGGACTGTGACAATGGCTGCGAACGGCTCGATTTGGTGATGGGCTGATGAGCTGCTTTTGTCGAACCTTCCAAGCGAAGCAGTTGTGGCTCGTGCAGGCAGGGGATCTTTTGTGCAACAGATGCTGCGTGAGAGAGGCGTTCAAAGCGAAATCCTTAGACATCTGAGTCATCTGAGGCATCCCGGAACAGGTACGTTCAGAAGAGTTGCTCGCTGCTTGGCCAAATGTCGATTTGGATTCAAGGGCTGCAGACCCTGATTCCAGTTGTGTCTATGGAAAGAAAGGCGATGCAGGGACATGCAAGAACTGGAATGATCTGAAGGCAAGCAACCGCACTGTGGGGCTGAAAGACGGAAGTAGTCAGTCACCCGGCAGCCTCGCGCCTGCGCCACCGTGGCGGCATTTCCCTCTGGTTCGGAGTGCGGCCCAGGCACAGTCCAAAAGACAGGAGCCATCAGGAGCCTCAAGGCCTCAAGGCTTAGCTTTCAGACTCCAAATAAAATATGTGAGCCTCGGGCCACGAACTATCCCGACGGCCAAACATTCATTTGCGACACACATCTTAGGATCACACCTTGGCAATGGGATGCCACTCAGTACTGAGAAGATTTCAGGGTTGGGCCACCCACCTGTTGAAGCATGCTGTTGAACCATCAACTCCTCGACGTTTCGTTTCAACGAGTCCGTTCATGGTTTGAATGTCCCACACCACAACTACGACTTTGCGGCACGAGGTTCTGGAGGGGAGCTCCACAAATCCCAACCCGCGAGTGTACTAACCTGCTCGGTTGCTCAGCACCCATTTCCCTTTTTGTTTGGCTGGTTCCCTGCAAATGGTCCACCCTTTCTGCGGGCTCCTACCTCGTGGCTCACCTCTTTGGGACGTTTTGATTGGTTCCCCGGAAAGGGGCGACCTGTTGGGTGGGACCTCCGAGGCGAAGTTCTTTGACGAGATCTTCGGGAAGCCGGTGGTGCGCTCCGTGGCGCTGGTGCGCGACATCTCCCGGCTGCCGCCCCTGATGCAGGCGGAGCGCGCGCGAGTCGAAGCTGCGAATGCCTCGAGTTGGCGACTGCAGGTCGTGGAGCGCATGTGTTGGGGCTGGGTGGCCTTTTCGGGCTCAGTCTGAAGGAGACAACAGGGAAGCGACAATGTGTTTGGGGCCTCGAGTTGAAGACACACCCGCGTAAAATAGGAATCGGACCCCTTGAAAAGGGGGTGGTTCCTTGAGGTTTCCCTGTAGAACGATATCCGAAAAAGGGTACCGTGCCTGAACAAAGACACACACACACACAGATGGTCGTCCTCAGTTTTTTCATCATGTTGGTTCCCAGGACAAAGCTCAATGAACTCAGCTGATGCAGATGGGAACATCTTACGATGGTGCTGGTGCTTTTCTCAAGCTGCGGGCTGGTTTCATCCTGATTGGGTCAGGTTTGCATTGTTTGCTTTCAGCATGTCAGGTTTCACATGGTGGCGCGAGTGCTCGAGCTAAATCAACAGGGGTAGTCTACTCCCACTTCAATGGACTTAGATTGCTCCCACCTCAACGGATGCGGGTGAAAGGGGATGGATCATTTCTTGCAATTTCCCAGGCCCCTAAAATACCCGAATCTGTCCAGCTGGCAACTGGCAACGGTTTCTTTTTTGGTTTCCCTTTGAGATCATCGCCTTTGGGTTTTGTTGAGATCGACCCATTTGCCGCCGAATGCACTCAGACCGTTGCACCAAATGAATTCCAAACGAGGAGCGCGACCAGCTCTCCGAGCGGCTGGCGGAGGCGGGGCGGAGCAGCTGGTCGCTTGTTGGCCCGGTCCAGGGGCAACGAATTACCAGCGTGCTTCTTGCTTCGTTTGGGCGTTGTATTTGGGGGGGGGGGCGCGTGGGGGGTGGGGTGGGAGGAAGGGTTTGAAGCATTTTACGGGTGAGTGGCCTCAAAACCTTGGAAGATGTGGAATGAAAAGCCACAAGCAAAGCAAAATGACCGCCATCGTTGCTCGCCGCACCCAACTGGGGCCCGAGTTACGCTGCCAAATCAAGCTGATGCCACTAGGGTTCTCCGTTCCGGTGCTGATCAAGTGTGTAGTTGGTGGGGCGAGTGAACTTTGCTTCCCTCCTGCGCCTATCCAGCTTTGCATGTTGCCACAGGCATGCCTGCAAAAGCGCTCTGCTTCTGGGCTGCACATATAACGCCGGAGGAACAGTGCGATGAAACCTTGTATAGGTACAGGGTCTTGAAAAAGGGCATTTGGGTATTTCAAGGGCTGTGGAGCTTCTGCTTGGGAATGGGCTTTACCTGGGAAATGGACCCTGGGCATGTAAAGTATACGCAAACGCTGCTGTTGAGCCGTTGGGGCAAATGCTATGGAAGCACCTCTGAAAGACGCGGCTCCAGTAGCTGCTTGGGTAACGCTTGCATGTCAAGAAGGCGTTTGACTTGGTAATGGACACGAGCTACATATAGGCATGGTGGTTTCCCGTTTCCGCTTTGGGTTCCCTTCAAAACCACTCCGAAATGGGTACCCTCAAAGATCACACCAATATATCATGGTTTGCTTCCATGGCACCAAAAGCGCATGTTTATCTGAGGCAGATCTGCCGCAGCTGGAGAGGCAGATGGTAGCCATGGTTCTGTGAGCAAATTTCAGCAAGTAAAAATGCAGCAATTTGGATGCGAGAAAGCCAGCGTGTTGGGGAATTTGGTTGGCAGCCATTTCTAGTGGATTGACCGTGACCCTGAGAGGAACTATCAGGTTGGCACCCACAATTTCCAGATTCCCCGTGACCCAAATGCAATGCTCCTCCATTGTCCAAGCGAACCAAGCAGTTGACCATTTGCCACCTCTTTGGGTGCTTAGGGATCTTTGGACAGCATCAAAGCTTAAGTTGGCTGGGAGACACGGCATTTGGCCGCAGGCAATACAGGCGAGCAGCCGAGCAGCTGGAGGAGGTGGCAGAGTTGATCTATAGCCAGTGTCCAAGTTGGTTCCCTCAAGCCTCCACCGTCCACACGTGGAGCCTTCCCGGTTTTGATTTGGAGCCGGGTTCTCTCTCGCGCATGAGAAGAGGAGTGCTTGGAACTTGAGGCTCGCAGACCTTTGCCTATGACGCTGCTTTCGTGACCTTCTGTGATCGGCGCTCCACGGAGTTTGCCAAGCGATTGAGGTACAGCGAACGTGCCTCGATTGAAGTGGACCAGAGGTCCCGAAGCCCAGTTCTGGCTGGATGTACGGTGCAAAAAGGGAACAAGCACTGTGTCGTTTAGGACTTGCAGTTACGCCGCGTTCAAAGCAGGCAAGCGAGTTATCCTACCGTTACGGCGAATGACTTGTTCGCTGTACTGTCCTGCAAGGGACGGTGTTTTCCGTCCAATTTCTGTCCTGTTTTCCGTCCTGCTGCATAGGCACGGTATTTTCCGTCCTGCAAAAGAGCAAACAACCCTACAAAACCTTACACAAGTCCTTACATCATTTTACAAGGGTTCTTACAAGGCATTACAAGGGTTCTTACAAGGCATTCCACACAAGGCATTACAAGGATTCTTACAAGGCATTTCAAGGGTCCTTACAAAGCCTTACAAGGGTTCTTACAAGGCATTCCACATAAGGCATTACAAAGGTTACAAGGGTTCTTACAAGGCATACGAATTGGCAGCAGTATTGGCCAAGTCAGCAGTTGTCCCAAGGCCATGTTGATAGTAATGGCGCCTTGATTGCACCGGCTTCTCGAAGTCAGGCAGCCAGGTGTGCGAGGCAGCTGGCTGGCGATTCAGCCACTCCATTCCAAGTTCCATTTGTTTTGTGGCCTTTGCTGTTGTGCTTGCCTTCGCCAGCGTGTAACTTGTCCTCACCTTTGGGTTGCTAGTTTCGTTCACTGCAATCAGTCATGTCAAGCGCTTGCAGCTCGGTTGGTGGCGGCGGCGTCGTCGTTGTTGCTACTGTTACAATTGCCAGCGTTGTAGCGGCTTTGGTGGCTGTTTCAACTGCCGATGTTTCTGCGCTTGTGTCACTTGTGTGGCAGGTGTTGTCCGGCTTAGTTAAAATGCAATTTAAACCCGGGACTCGCTCCGGATTCTGCTCGTAGTTGATCTCTTGCACAATCCGGATATGTGCCCAAAGTGGGGGACCCCGCTGTCAATTTGGCTTGCAATTCATTGACAAGGACATCAAGGCCTTGATAATTCACACAACGGAAACAATCACAAGCTGCAGACATTGAGAGATCAGGGTCGAACAAGGTGTGCTCTACTTGAGGCCTTCCATTTTGGACCGCCTCCATTTCCAAGTAAATAAAATCCCCATAGACGTCCCTGATACTTTCCCGAGCGGAACGAGGCCCTTCCAGCTACAAGGTGACCGCGGCGCCGCCGCCGGGGGACGTGAACTTCGACAGCTTCAGCAATAGCGCGGTGCCTCGTGCGGACGACCCGAAAGGTTTTGGAACTGTGGCTGGCAATTGCCCACGGCAAAGTTACCCTCCCACTTAATATGGAACCTGACAGGGGGATCCCTCTAAAAGGAGAATGGTCGTCGAGGACCCCCCTGTCAGGGTTCTATGTTAATTGGTGGGAGGGTAGCTGCTGAGTTGGCAACTCCGCACTTGTTGGTCTCTTCTTTTCATGAGTTAAAGGCCAAACTGATAGAATTTGGTCCCAAGTCAACTCAGCAGGTCAGGCTAAGTCGATGATCAAAGGTTAATCTTGGCCGGCTGTGAATGGGGCACAATCACATGCCATTAGAACATTGCTCAGTGACGATTGGTCAATGCGTTTTTGCATGCTTTTAAACGCGTTGCAAACTGCGAGCCTCAATGGACAGAGGGGTCCCTTTTTTTGGTGATGCCGACCGACTTGTTTGGCGGGTGTAGGTCCACAGGCCAGGGTGCAGATTGAAGCAGGGGCTTCCAGCTGGCACTGAGGCCCACATCAACAAGGGCAGCGCTTTACTGGGCCGCTTGCTGGTGTCTTGACACATGTGGAGACTTGTGAGTTGCTGACAGCCCGTTGCTCTTATGCCAGGCAGAAGGGTGAGGGACCTGAAAGTAGGTAAAGTACCGCACTTGCTGAGGTGGCCTGTATGTTTTTCTTCTTCTTGCCTGCAGTGAGACTTGTCTGCAAGGTTGCAAATGGTCCGAGCCAAAGGCAGATCACACCACACGAAGGGGCTGCGAGCTTGAATCCTTTGGCCGAAAGCGCCCGCACAAGTCTTTTGAGGTCTGGACCACAGCCAATTTCCCAGTGCATGGCAAGTGCCTCGATTCTTTCAAAGGACGTCTGGTGCCGTTGCCTTGTTTCAGGGTGGAGACCCACAACCCATGCGCCCGCCTGAGCTGTGGCGGTTCAGATCTCTATTCATTGATTTGAGGATGCGCGGCTCACTGCTCACTGGCCAACAAGAAACAAGGCACAATCTTCTCGAGAACCCCCACGCAAGGCTCAGGCCCCTACAAGCCGGCCCTTGGGCTTGTTCTGTTGGTTGCAAGAAACAAACCCTTTTGTTTTTTGGAATTTGTTCTCGTTGTGTACTTGTGACACCCACTATGCCTCCCATACGGGTGGGTGCAGAGAGCACAGACAACAAACAACTTGGGACAAGGGCTTTGTACACGCAGAGACGCACATGCACACACACACACACACTCACAGAATCCCTATTCAACTTGTCACTTCGATTGGTCCGTGAGATGGGCATTTTACACCGGTGCCCAGCTTGCGGCGACGATGGGGAGTGTTCGCCGAGTCACAGGCGAGGATGTGATGACAAGGGAAGCATTTGCCGAATGGTGGCATGAGACCAGGCTGCGAGACAGCGATGTGCGATTCGTGGATGCTCTGAGGATCCATGTGGCTCGTCAGCTGGAGACACAGAATTTTCGACGGCTGTCGCTGGTATGTGGAGAAGATGTGCTGAAGCATGAGGACCCTTGGAAAGATGCGGAGCTCCTGGTGGTCGCCCGACAATACATCGTGCCAACTGAACACGATATTGAAGAGTTTTTCGATGCGGCTGGCAGTGGAATGACAGAGAGCATTGTAGCATGTTTGGAGCGGCCCATCGACCCAAACACCGTCGGCAGCAATGCAACTGGCATCTCGGCGCTGGCTTTGGCTGCATACTATGGTCAACACGAAGTTGCGCAAATCTTGTTGCAGGCCAGCGCTGACAAAGATATGGCCGACGATCAAGGATGCACGCCCATGCACGCTGCTGCGGACTGTGGTCATTTGCAAACTGTGCGCTTGTTGTTAGAGGCGTGTGCTGACAATGAAAAGGCCAATAATGATGGGCGCACTCCCTTGCACGTGGCTGCTGCTTCTGGCCGGCGGAACGTTGTGCATTGCCTCCTAGAAGCTGGTGCTGCCAAGGACAAGGCAGACAATCACGGGAAAACACCGACACATTGCGCTGCTGAATATGGATGTCCGAACGTATTGCGGTGTTTGCTGGAGGCTGGGGCTGACAAGGACAAGGCAAACCATTACGGGCACACACCCATGCACTTTGCTGCATCAGATGGTTATGTTAGCTTTGTGCGTTGCTTGGTGGAAGCCGGCGCCAACATCAACAAGGCTGACTGTGAAGGATGCAGGCCTCTGCATGTGGCCGCGCAATTCGGCCATCCGAGAGTTGTGCATTTATTGGTAGAGGCAGGCGCTGACAAAGACAAGGCCGACAACGACGGACTCACGCCCCTGCATGTGGCGGCCGACAAAGGCTATCACCGAGTAGCGCGCTGCCTTCTTGAAGCCGGTGCTGATCGAAGCAAGGTTAGCGACGATGGGCACACTCCCATGCAGATTGCTGCCATGTCTGGTCACCTGCACATTGTTTTCATCTTGCAAGCTGGCCGGGTTGAGGCCAGCTCGAGAAGGCGCAGGTTTTTTCGAGCGTTGCCGCCCGCTGTCAAGTGGCGGCGGGTAGATCAGAGTGCTTGAGGCAGGCAAATGGGATTGTTAATTAACGTTTGAGCATTCTGCGGACACAAAGATGTCAGCCGCTCAACTCATTTCACAAAGGCTTTGTCAAGCATGTGAAAGATGACATCGCGGCGCCTGAGCTCTCCTAAATCCCTGTGCGTTGGCACTTTTGATGCCCAGCTTTTGCGCTGATGTCCAGATGCATGGCTTACAGTGGCAGTCAGAAATCAAGAGGCTTCATTTGTTCATGTTGCATTTCGCAGGTTGAAAAGAGCGATATGCTTCTTGGTCCAGCTTGAGGATGAAGTATCAAGGCAGAGATATCGACCTGAAAGAAGCACGGATAAACTTAGGTGTACAGTGGAGTAGAACTAAAGACAAAGTGAAGGCACTTTGGCTTGACTTGATTTCCTTTCCAGCCACGTTTCTTAATATTCCATTTTGTCCGACCTTGTTTGTTTGCTGTTCTGCAACTTGTCGACTTCCATAGGATTTCTATAGGAAACACTTTGGCGACGAGAAGCGTCATCTCTATCTTGCCGCATGGGGCGCAGCTGCGCAAGAAAGCTGCAACGCAATATTGGTCAGCCAGCTACTCCACAATGATAACAGCTGCAAGCGCCAGCCATGCTCTGAAACCATAAACTGCTTATCGTCACAGGGCATGCCGACTACATTTTGAGGTCCTGCTAATCCACAATGATGTCATTGCCCCTTGTTTGCCCCTGGGAAATGCAGGAGCCCCTTCCAGCCACGGGGTTCTGTACGGACGGTGCACGCAACAATTCTTTGCCGAGGATCGGCATCTCTTCCTTGCTGAGCGTCGACTCGCTGTCTCAGCTGCTGCCGGGGCTTAAGGCCGAGCCCGAGCCAAATCTCCGACCAAAACGCCGAGCCTTTGGCCAGGACTGGGCGGCGGACCATGGATACTTCACGGCCGCGTGGGAGGCTCTGCCAGAGACTTAGCAGGCGGTCTTGGCGACTCCACATAGAACGGACATCTTTTCCACTGTGAACCCCACTGATCCACAGGTGGGAGGGCTGTGAATAGGGGTCAACTTTCCGCGTCAGCGACTCAATTGATTGGGAAAGCTGTTGTGATGCTATCATGGAGTTCGCGCAAATGCTACTTATAGGTTTTGTGAGTGTTGTGTTTTGTTTGTTCTTGGGGGCGGGTAGTTCTATGTCCTAGCCGAGGCTAGGCACAAGTCTCCTTTGCATGCTCATGGACCTGGTGCCAATGATTCTGGAGGAGGCCGGACCAGCGACTGCCACCGAGATTTGTCCACCTGCTTGATCGTAAGAGGGGGGGTAGGCATCCGATTCAGTTGCTTCAAGGCCTTCTCATAGCCGGGCATCGGGGGCTCATCATGAAGAGATGGCAAGTATCAATATCGCGCCACATTGCATCCAGCTTTACTGCCGTTTCACCCACCTGTCTCTTCCCCAAGCTTTGGCATTTCCCGTTCAGTTGTTGTGTGTTTTTCCCGGACAGATTGAACCACTGGAGGTCCCTGTCCAATTTCAGGAAGGTGCCCTTCTCCGAAACCCTGCCCTCAAAAGTGGACATAAATTGAGTTCTATCCCATCCACACCTAAGAGTCACCACAGTGGCCAAAGTGGTTGGTTGGTTGGTCCACCAAACGCGGCTGGCCCACCAAAGTGGCTAGTTGTGTGGCTGGCTGGTTGGTTGCTTGGGTGCCCGGCTGGCTGGTTGGTTGGTCGGTGGGTCGGTCGGTAGTCCACCAAAGGATCCGATCAAATTCAGCCCCAGGTCTTCTGGCGCTTCTATCGCTTGCGCAGCGGCGCGAAGAGCCAGCACAAGATCCAGCGCCGGGCTTAGCTCCGGCTGGAGCGACGGTTTTGGCAGGTGGGGAGGGGGGGAGTGGGGAAGGAAAACCGCCATTTTGGGGCGTACATCAGGACAAGGGAACCGGCCATTTTTGTAGGTGCCCTTCCTGTGACACGTATGGACAAGTGAAGTTGATTCATCAGACTGATGAGGCGCCACATCTCCGTTGGAGCTGAGGCGCTGGTACTTCACCTTCCTCGCGCCCTGGGCTAGAGCCGTCGGTAGATGTGGCTGTCTTCAAACCAACTGCCGTCGACCTTGCAGTGAATTTAGACAACCGTCGTAACAAGAAACTCAGAAAAGGCGGCTGAACACTACCCCGAAGGTGGTTTGGGGTTCACACTGTCACGGGTTTGCATTTCAAGAAAGCGATTCGACACATTTGGCACAATTGGCCAAGCGCCCTTGGTCTTCGCTAGGACCGTCCCAAAGAGTCTTTGTGGTGTGGTCTCTTTTGTTGGCACCAGTGCGCTACCGCTTTTGTAAACCGCTGGTGGCGGTGGCGGCGCAAGCAGAGGTGGGTAGCTCTGTCAAAATGAAATCGTTGGTGGCCTTTTGACATCAATCCAAAAGGAATCCAGCTTGTTTTGACACACAAAAACACAATTTCTTGACCGTTGCCGCCTGGTGGAACATGTTCTATTCAAACATTCCAAGCTGCCAAACGCAGTTGCTTCGCGTTCCTCGTGTCAAGATTTGGAGCACCTCCAGCTCCTTTTGATTCTTCTTTCAGCCCACAACTCCGCCCCCCCCCCCCCCCTCTGTTCTGCAAACTGAATCTGCATTTGGGAATATCCTACCAACACCTCTGTCTGTGACTCCAAAATTGATTCTGGAATGGCTTCCCACAAAGCCCCCTGTGCAACTGCATGCTTTGAATCGGTTTCTCTTAACCACCAAGCAAGCAAGCAAGCAATCGAACATCAAGCAATCAAATCAAGCAAACCAAGCCAAACTATCCAAACCCAGACCAACCTGAGCCCAAGCGAACCAAACCAACAGCGAGGTCGTCTTCGTGCTGCTCGTCACCGCAGTAGGCACCTCCCTCTTCGAGGCCGCTGCGCGACTGGCGCAAGCGCCCCTCCAGGCGGGTGGTTAAGCCCACCAACTGCCGGATGTTGCCCACCGGTCTCCGGCCAAAAATGGGGCGGGAACAGCGCACCACGAAATGACACCATGGTTGAAGCCGTACGTGTTTGTTGGTGCAGGGACATCATATATCCTTCCAGCGTTTTTTAGGTGGTGGAGTTTGTCCATCCAAAGTAGTCTTTCTTGTGGGGGTGATGTTGGGGGAAATGTTGGGAACTGATGGAGCCTAGACTACCCTATGAGAAAAAGAACAAGACACCTCCTCTCCCCAAAAAAGGTGCAGGGTTCCTTTTGATGGCTTCGCTGGATTGTGTTGAATGTAGAGACAACATTGTTTTTGAGTTATACAGGGCCCTTTTTCAAGGGGGTCACGAGTAAAGGCCTCCGACCGTTTGTGGGGGGGTATTTTTCTTGTTGGACCCTCAGGAGGCGTTGAGGAGGTTACTGGGCCTGAGTTTGGGTTTTCCCTTTCCTCACTTGCCAAGCAACTAGGGACAAGAAAAGATAATGGCAAAATAATGGTGGGTTGCGCCAAGCCCAGCAGTGAGTCCAAAGTAAAACCTCAAGCTGGAGGTCTGGTGGCTGTTAGCAGACCAGCTGCCGGACTCTACCAACTTCTACCTGCGCTATGCCGTGCTGCTTTGGGGTGCGCCCTTCTTCGATCTTCTGCGCTGTCCCCGACTCGGTCGAAAGCACAGAGACAAGCAATCAGGGCTTGCAATGCTGGACTCGCCGCACCTCAGGTTTTCAACTCTTGAAGTTCTGGAGGGCCGTTAAAGTCGGCGAGTCGGCTGCTCAGCACTGCCATCTTTGTTGAGCCGATGGTAAAAGTGGCAATGATGATCAGACAGGAGTGCTGATGGCAGATTTGGGGTTCCACTTGCGAAGCTGCCAATGCCGCTGCTGGCCATTTTAGAGTGGGGCAAGCTTAAAGCCTCCATCACACCTTGGAAGTAAACCTTTGTGAGTTTAGCCCTGACGTATAGGACGCTGTGAGCCATCCACCAAGTGAGGGGCCTTTGTTCTCCAAGCCAACTCAGGGGTGCTAGCGGCCTTTTCCATTGATCTCGGTATTTTCGTTGGGTTGAGTATGGCCGTCCTCACTGACACTTTAGCCACGCACCTCTTGGTGCCATTTGGTGCCTTCCCATTTGACAGCTGATACATGTTTTTGGATGGTCCGCGTGATGTGCAGCAGTCGCCCCGGCGACCGACTGAGCAAGCAAGGTCTCCAGAGGTTGCGAGGCAGATGGCGGAGCCAGAGGCCGGGTGGGGGGTAATCCGAGGCGGTGGAGTAAGCTAATCATTTGGTCACCCCCCAGCTCTCTCTGCAGGAGGTATATTGACCACAGACACAGGCAGGTTAAACCAATTTGCGCTCGTGACTGCAATCCATGGCGGGGCTGACGGATATTTATAGAGGAAGGAACACACCTTCATATTTTTTGTGATTTGTGGGAATGTTTCAGAAGTGGAGACTCTTCCAAATGGCGCTTTCATAATTTCCACTGATTCAAAAACTGGGGGGTCCAGTTCTGAGATTCAGATAACTTAGGACCAAGCCTTCCACGGCGTCGGCGCTAGAAGTGCGAGATGGGCGCTGCACATGGTCCTGGGCCTCACCCTCTGCAGTCACTCGGTGGGACCCGAACATTGTCTATGCAAGCATCTAATTCTGCGACAATGTAAGGGGCTAAACGATCAATAGTTTTATTTTGCTTTTGAAGTACCACAACACCCCACTCTAAGTGTTTAGATTCTTGCATTGTACAAATTGAGCTCAGCTTGATTCCGTCTTGTCATGCAGACCGCAGGCGACGCTGTTTTTGTTGTATAGTTCGGAGTACATCTTTTCGCTCATTCGCTTGCGGCCTGGACGATAGATTGATCAGGGGCTGCCACGTTGCACCTCAGGCTTGCAGCCCTTTATTCCGCTGATCCTGGCTTTCGGCTTCATGTTCCGAAGGCTGGTCTATGGCTACCTCATCGCTCCTCGGCGCGGCGGCGAGTGCTGGAGGGATACATTTGAGCAACATCCGGTCCTGTTGAAGGATTGCGCGGAAAAGCGGGGAAAGTGGGGAAAGGTAGGGCAGGCCAAATCATTGTGTTTCCGTGATGATGACCCCTCGCGCTGTAAAGGCGTCGCTTGCTTTCACGTCCAATGGGATCCTCACTCCCACGCATGTTGCTGAGAGTTTAAAGAGAGCCGACACCATGACTAGCACCGACTGGTGCGCCCTTCCCAGCGGGGCAACGGCGTTTCGCCACCGAGTCGAGGTCTGCGAGAGAGACCGGAGAGTTGCACTCCCCTTCGTTTGCGCTTTCGGACATTCTACCGATGGTCTTGCAAGGAACGGTGTCAACAAGAAAAGATACAAGGGGGGTACTTTCAGACCGGCGCACTGGCACGTAACTCATTTAAATTTTGAATGCAGTGTCAGCAACAAAGCTCCCTTCGCCAGGGCTGATTTAATCGAACCGAGGAAGAATGAATCTGACCCATAGACATGCAAGCGGAGTTCTAATTTGTTCAATCTGCCTCAACTGTTTGCAACCGTCACGTGCTTTGTTGTTTTGTGTGTGTGTGAGAGAGAGAGAGCCTGTGTATATGAGGGAAGCCCTCGTGCTGATCAGCGAGCTTCTCGCTTTGGTGTTGAGTGAGATAACCGACGGGCAAAGTTTGAGATACGGGCTTATTGAGGGCTTTGCATCATCTCCTGGTTGCACTTCTGGACGGGCAACCCGAACTCAGGTTGTCCATTCCAATTCCAAGAAAGGGTTCTTTTCCATGAATTCGTTGGTGGTCAGACAGCCAGTGTAAATCTTCACAACCAACTCAGGAGAACACATATATTTTTCCCCAGCTGCTCAAGTGGAGGTGGTCACGCACGCCAGCCAAGGTCTTTGTGGAGACACGAAAGTCGGATTCTGGCGGCCAACTCTGGCGGGCCCCTCGACTTGCCATCAGGCAGCGCTGTCTGCGCGCGTCGTCCACATGAGTGGCTTGAATTTCCGGGCATCCGTGCTCTTGAGCCAGCCTTCGGGTATTTTCAGCAGTGCTTTGGAATTTTCTGTGCAGAGTTTCTTCCTAGATGGGCATGTACGGGCCAAGGCACAGATGCAGCACACGCAGCTGGGGCTGGTCATCTACATCATGGCCGAAAGCCAAGCGATGAGCTGTAAGGTCAAAGACTTTCGGCAGCCAAGGGCGAAAGAGGAGACACGGGTTCCATGGCTATCCTGTTGTGCGGTTTGTCCGAAAATGGGACTGCAAAAGAAGGCGGTTTCCCTTTGGTTCCCTTTCAGGCACCCCCAAAAGGGTACGCTTAAAGGAAGACACACCCATAGGCGTGCATGTCTAATGAAAGGTCAACGCGAAGGGTGTGTATATCTCGTGGCGGTGTGCAACAGGACGGTTTGGCCAAGGTAGGTGTTGGACAGACAGCGGCATTCGGTGAGCGAGCAACAATTTAGCCGATGGTTCTTGTGATCGCGGATTCTGGTAAACATTATTTGTTTTGTCCTCGCTGTAAAAGCATCACACTTGCCCGGTTAGAAGGAGCCGAATTTGGCATGTGCTGGCATGTCCTGGCATGTCCTGGCATTTCTTCGCATGTCTTGGCATACCTTTTGCATTTATGTGTGGCGTTTGAGAATGTGCCAGACTCAATGACCCATTCAACGCACGTGCTTCTTCTTATTCCTTTAAAGATCCACCAGTCAGTTCGATTATGCGTAGCGCATGCCTCTTCCGCTGGTCTTGGCTATTTGGCTTCTCCGTTTGGTTTCATGCTTGCTTCCTTGAAGTATCCACCGCGTGCCCAATTTGTTTTTTTGGACGGCGCCGTCCCATTGTTGGGTGAGGTCATGACGTTGATCCTCATGGATCGAGAGCAGTCCATGGTGTGCGGGCCTCGGCCAAGCATGTGCCTCCAAGCGAACCCCGCGGAGCTGGTGGCTACTTCCAGAACAGACAACCAAACAACACAAGCAAAGTAAAACAGACGAAACCGCGATTTGGTTTTGCCACCTTGTTGATGGATAGGGTGAACCGGGGCTTCTTTTCGCATGTGGCTCCCGTGGGCAGCGCTCTTGATCCATTGTTTGTGTTCTGCGGTCGTCAGATGCGGCTGCTTGTCCTGACTATGACACCGCACTTTCAGGCTTCCTCTGAGGTGAAGAGAGGACTTGGCAGCATGGGGTTGCTGTCAACACAATTGACTCAATTGACGGTTTGGCTGAACTTTATGTGGCAAGTAGCGTCGCAATCATGAGTTGCGTCTGTCACATCTCAGACAGAAGACTGTGATGCTTTGGTTGTTCAAGTCTGCTGGTGCAGATTTGATCGCCTTCATGTTGGGTTGCCTTTGACCTTTGCCTTTGCCAACCATGACCGTTTGAGCTTCGACCATGTTTTGCTCCAAGGATACAAAGGTGGGCTGCACACCCTCAACCACCACAAACCATGCAGCTTTTTGGTCTGCTTTTTGGGCGCCCTTGGTGCCTCAATGCTCTGAGGGCCGCCGTCTTGGCCGGCAGCAGCGGCTCAGTGGTGGCGCTCTTCTGGCACCTTGCACGTAAATCATGTCGGAGTTGATCTTTTTCCGCCCACAAGTCCTTGGCAGTGGGAAAGGCGGCGGCCATTTCGCGAAACTTGCTCTGAGATCGGCCAATATGGGTGGCTTTGGTGGTTTGGGGCCCTTGACATCCACGACACAAATTCTGGGAAAGGCTGATTGAATCAGGGGGTCCGCGAGGAGTTGCTAATTGCGCCTGAATACGACAAGTTTCTGGACAAATGATGGAACCAGAGCATATTGGGCTTGGTTGCTTGCTTGGTTGGTTGCTGGGCCGGTTGGTTGGTTGGTTGGTTGGCTGGTTGGCTGGTTGGCTGGTTGGCTGGTTGGCTGGTTGGTTGGCTGGGTTGGCTCGGCGTTGTTTGGTTTGGTTTGGTTTGGTTTGGTTTGGTTTGGTTGCTTGGTTGCTCGGTTGCTTGGTTGCTTGGTGGCTTGCTTTCTTGCTTGGTGGCTTGCTTGGTTGCTCGGTTGCTTGGTTGCTTGCTTGCTTGCTTGCTTGCTTGCTTGGTTTGCTTGCCTAACTGCCTGCCAGCTTGCCTGGTTGGTTGCTTGGTTTCTTGATGTTTCTTGATGTTTTAGTTGGTTGGTTGCCCAGGCCAGTTCTTTGCCTCGGTGGCTTGGGAGTGAGGGGCTCAAGTGTTGCCCCAAACCTGCAGAACAAATCAGTCAGGCATCAAGTCGCCCCACAGCTTAACCCAGAAGTCAACACAAGCCAGATTGATGCCCACCCCCCGCCCAAGAATCGTCCAACACCTGGCCAGTCGCCAAACCACAAGCCTAGCGAAACTGAGAGCCGCAAGCCCGTCCCAATCCAGACGAACGCTCAGTGGAAAACTGGGGATGTTGTCACGTTGGATACCATATTTTGGCAAGATCGCACTCTGAACTGAAGTATTGGCGATCGTGGTGTGTCAAGGCAGTATACTCAAACCGCTGTGTATTTGGCAGCCTCGGTTTTGAGCAACCCTTTGCCCATATCAAAGCTGGTCCAAAGGAAAGGATGGGGTCCCATGGCACATATCGCCCAGGTACTGGTACCCTTCTCTCCTGGAATTGCACTCCTTGCCAGTGCAGCAGGCGCCTGATTTGCCAACTTCACCCGTTCGATGTGGCAGCTTGCTGCCTGCAAGTGCCCTCAATTTTCACATGCTCGTGTGGGTTGACACAAAGGCGACCCTTTGTGAGGATTCTCCACTTCTCCCCAAGTTGCTTGGGGAAGTGGTGCTAAGGACCAAGCTTTTGGTATGCATTGCTTTTCGATGCTTTCCATTTCCAGGCGAGCTGCGTGGAAGCTGCGACCATTGGCCGTGAGGGATCGAGCGAAGTTGTGGCAGAACCTCCGGGGATGTCACCCTATTTGCAGCCAGCGCCTTGTCCTGGATTTGGGAACTTTTTGGATAAACTCTATCCCGGCTTGTGGACGTGGCGCCATCCCCAAACGCCTCCACATTTTTGGCCGGAACTGGGAAAGCCTTGTGCTCCAAAGGGCTCAAACCCAAAAGGGGCATTGGGACTGCAGCCGACCGGCGCAGGAACTGCAGCAATCTTTGCCCACTGCTCTTCGATCAGGGCCGCTTTGCTGCGAGAGTGAAGCAGTTGCCATTGTCAGAAGGCAAATGCGCGGCCGTACCGCTTCTGAACCCCCTCTCGTGTGACTCTCCCCAGGAGTCTAGGCCCCAGTAGTTATGAATGCCTTTACCCCCCCCCCCTACCCCCTCCCCCCCCGCAAGGTAGTTGGATCCTATCCCCAGGGTGGCTAGGAAGCTGAGATATCAGCATTTTCCCTAAGCCTTCCGAAGCTGAACCTAAGAGACCCCTTGATTTTGATCGGAGATTTTGATCGGAGATTCGAGCTGCGTTACTTTGCTGCGTCCCCCTAACCTAGGGGAATTATAAGAGATTTGAATTGCTCTTTCTGAAAGTGCTGCGTCCTCCTAAGCTTTGCGCAAACATGCTTCCCCAAGGTTTTCTGAGGCTGGGCTTCCCCAGGGCTTACCTAGGGCTTCTCTAAGGTTTCCAGCTTCCCTAAGGCTTCCCTAAGGCTTCCCTAAGGTTTCTCTAAGGGTCGCTTCCTAGCCTAATTTGCAGGTTTGGGCGGTTCTTGTCCAATCAGCCCTTAGTGTTCCCGTGCGCAGGGCGAGTGTCGGGCCAAGCTTCCCCAAGCCTTCCGCAAGGCTTAAGCCTCCCCTGCAAGAGAAGCCAACTTTAAGCTGAAAGGGGTGAAAGGGGGGGGGGGCTAAAGGGGGGTACGGGCTCCATAAAGTAGGGATGTCCAACTCAGCGACGTTCTAAATCCCCTGCACTTGAAAGTGTTATTCGGGAGGAAATCACGTTTTCAAAGTGTTCATTTTTCCCAGGTCGCGGAAGCGCCGCGCAAGGTTTGCGGAAGGGGTTTCTCGTTTATGTACTCGTGGAAGCTTCGCGGAAGGGCTAGGATTCAATCACGAAAGCAAGGAATTGTAGTTTTCCTTCACGCGCGGAAGCGAAAACGAACTTCAATCCCATTTCTCAATCCGAAGCCTCTTGCGGAAGGAACCTTTCATGCTGCGCAAGCTCCGCGGAAGCCTTCGCGAAAGAGATTTGATATTTCTCTTCGGCCGCAGCTGGGTTTAGAACACTGCTCAACTGGTTCTATGGATATTTTCTAAACAAGAGGAGCCCGGGAACCCAAAAGGAAACCGGCCTCACTCCCCATGGCATGTGGATCCCGCTGTTTTCCGGCTCAAGGGTCCGAAGGCAAACCAAGATTTAATAAAGTTGTTCACAGTTGGGGAATCAACCCCAAAACAGATGAAGAAGGGGAGCAACCGCGACTCAAGCCGGATTGGCAGCCAGCAGCCTGTGCTCTGACCAAGCACAGAGAAAAAGGCAAAGGCACGGGCGAAACATGACAGGCCCCGCACTACATGGAAGGCACGAAGTCATCCGATTCATCATGAAAAACCAATCGCAGAAATCCGAAAATGGATCCGCACAAACTGCCACTCCCAAATTGGAAGCAAGGCATAAGCTCGCTCTACACCCATCTGAAACAAGTCTGAGACACAGTGTTACAACACGATCTGAGTAGACCGGGGTCAGCTGTTCGGATGTTCATGCGCCCTTTTGTTTGGGCCGAGTGTGCTCAGCATATTCATGTCAACGTGCTTCCAGGCTGCTTCCAAATAAGTAGGGCGAACCCCAAGAGGCCACAGACTCTGAAGAGAGGGTTCGTCCTAGAAACGCATTGGCACCGTTTGTTCGGGTCAAGTGTGCGGCAAAAAGGACAATCTTGGCGCACCTGGAACGCCGGGCTGTTCACATGGAGCCGTGCACGTGGCCTTCACAAACTTGATTCGTAAGCTTGCTTGGAGATAGGGCCGGTGCTGCGCTTTTGCGGGGGGCTCGGTGTGGACAAGCCTCGGCCACTTGTTGGGTCTGACGCCTGTCTGAAACAAGTCTGAGACACAGTGGTACCGCGATCTGCGTAGACTGGGGTCAGCTGTTCGGATGTTCCTGCGCCCTTTTGTTTGGGCCTAGTGTGCTCAGCATATTCATGTCAACGTGCTTCCAGGCTGCTTCCAAATAAGTAGGGCGAACCCCAAGAGGCTACAGCTTCTGAAGAGAGGGTTCGTCCTAGAAACACATTGGCACCATTTTTTCGGGTCAGGTGTGAGGAAAAATGACGATTTTGGCGCACCTGGAACGCCGGGCTGTTCACGTGGAGCCGTGCACGTGGCCTTCACAAACTTGCTTCGTAAGCTTGCTTGGATTCGTTAGTTTCTCCACCTGTTTTCCCATTCGCAACCAATTGCAACTGGTGACTTTGTGGAAAGGGCCGCGCACGTTGTCCATTGGACGCGTGTGGATGGCAAGTTGGGTGGATTCGCCGCAGGTGTGTGGATGCGCTTTTACGGGGGATTCGGTGTGGACAAGCCTCGGTCACTTGGTGGGTTGACGCCTGTCCGAAACAAGTCTGAGACACAGTGTTACCACGATCTGCGTAGACCGGGGTCAGCTGTTCGGATGTTCATGCGCCCTTTTGTTTGGGCCTAGTGTGCTCAGCATATTCATGTCAACGTGCTTCCAGGCTGCTTCCAAATAAGTAGGGCGAACCCCAAGAGGCCACAGACTCTGAAGCGGCAAAAAGGACAATTATGGCGTACCTGGAGCGCCGGGCTGTTCACATGGAGGCGCGCGCGTGGCGGTTGCCGCATGCTCGCCGGCATGTCACGAGCGTCCACCGCGCCAGTTTCGCTCGCCGGCGTGTCACGAGCGTCCACCGCGCCAGTCTCGCTCGCGGGCGGTTTCCGCATGTCACGAGCGTCCACCTTTCCGCATGTCACAAGCGTCCACTGTGCCAGTCTCGCTCGCGGGCGGTTTCCGCATGTCACGAGCGTCCACCGCGCAGTCTCGCTCGCGGGCGGTTTGCGCATGTCACGAGCGTCCACCGCGCCAGTCTCGCTCGCGAGCGGTTTCTGCATGTCACGAGCGTCCACCGCGCCAGTCTCGCTCGCGGGCTTCCGCGTGTCACGAGCGTCCACCGCGCCAGTCTCGCTCGCGGGCGGTTTCAGCCTGTCACGAGCCTCCACCGCGCCAGTCTCGCTCGCGGGCGGTTTCCGCCTGTCACAAGCGTCCACCGCGCCAGTCTCGCTCGCGGGCGATTTCCGCATGTCACGAGCGTCCACCGCGCCAGTCTCGCTCGCGGGCGGTCTCTGCATGTCACAAGCGTCCACCGCGCCAGTCTTGCTCGCGGGCGGTTTCCGCGTGTCACGAGCGTCCACCGCGCCAGTCTCGCTCGCGGGCGGTTTCCCCATGTCACGAGCGTCCACCGCGCCAGTCTCGCCCACAGGCGGTTTCCGCCTGTCACGAGCGTCCACGTTTACAAGCGTCCGCCTGTCACAGTCCACCGCGCGAGTCTCGCTCGCGGGCGGTTTCCGCATGTCACGAGCGTCCACCGCGGTTTCCGCGTGTCACAAGCGTCCACCGAGCCAGTCTCGCTCGCGGGCGGTTTCCGCATGTCACGAGCATCCCCCGCGCCAGTCTCGCTCGCGGGCGGTTTCACAAGAGTCCACCGCGCCAGTCTCGCTCGCGAACGGTTTTCGCATGTCACGAGCGTCCACCGCGCCAGAGTCTCACTTGCGGGCGGTTTCCGCGTGTCACGAGCGTCCACCGCGCCAGTCTCGCTCGCGGGCGGTTTCCGCATGTCACGAGCGTGCGCCGTGCCAGTCTCGCTCCCGGGCGGTTTTCGCATGTCACGAGCGTCCACCGCGCCAGTCTTGCTTGCGGGCGGTTTCCCCATGTCACGAGCGTCCACCACGCCAGTCTGGCTCGCGGGCATTTCCGCCTGTCACGAGCGTCCACCGCGCCAGTCTGGCTCGCGAACGGTTTCCGCGTGTCACGAGCGTCCACCGCGCCAGTCTTGCTAGCGGGCGGTTTCCGCATGTCACGAGCGTCCACCGCGCCAGTCTCGCTCGCGGGCGGTTTCCGCCTGTCACGAGCGTCCACCTCGCTCGCGGGCGGTTTCCGCATGTCACGAGCGTCCACCGCGCCAGTCTCGCTCGCGGGCGGTTTTTCATGTCACGAGCGTCCACCGCGCCAGTCTCGCTCGCGGGCGGTTTCCGCATGTCACGAGCGTCCACCGCGCCAGTCTCGCTCGCGGGCGGTTTCCGCATGTCACGAGCGTCCACCGCGCAGCATGTCACGAGCGTCCACCGCGCCAGTCTCGCTCGCGGGCGGTTTCCGCATGTCACGAGCGTCCACCTTTCCGCATGTCACAAGCGTCCACTGTGCCAGTCTCGCTCGCGGGCGGTTTCCGCGTGTCACGAGCGTCCACCGCGCAGTCTCGCTCGCGGGCGGTTTGCGCGTGTCACGAGCGTCCACCGCGCCAGTCTCGCTCGCGAGCGGTTTCTGCATGTCACGAGCGTCCACCGCGCCAGTCTCTCGCGGGCGGTTTCCGCACGTCACGAGCGTCCACCGCGCCAGTCTCGCTTGCGGGCGGTTTCCAGCCAGCCTTGCGCGCCCAGTCTGCACCACACTGCCGTCCCCCCAGCCAGCCAGTCTCGCTTGCGGGCGGTTTCCAGCCACGCCCAGTCTGCGTCCCATGAGCCAGCCAGTCTCGCTCGCGGGCAGTTTCCAGCCAGCCTCGCGCACCGCACACCGCCGTCCCCCCAGCCAGCCTCGTACGCCCGGTCTGCACCCCCAGCCAGCATCGCGCGCCCGGTCTGCAGCACAACGAAATGGAGATCCCTTCTTATCTCCGTCGTCACAGCTTGTATCGCTCCCAGGCACCTTAAGAGAAAACCTAAAGCAGAACCCAAGCATCAGAGATGCTTTTGGGAAAAATATCTGCCCCTCCTTTTTGGGCGGGTTGAGGAAATACTGGAGGAAACAATGGCAATCCTGACATAGGGCGGGCGCATACCTTCGAAGCCGTAAGTGCAGGCTTCGGACAGCGCGTGTTTTGTCCCTGCTTTGAGCCACTTTGAGCAATTGCATTGTTTCATCATGTTTCCACCAAGAATTGGGCATATGCGGCATTGGGGACAATCCTTCGATCATATTGACGACCCGTGGCAAGCTCGGGACACGATGGGCTCGACGCGATCCGCGAAGCCCGAAGGCCGAACCCTTGGGCCGAGCTTGACCGAGCACTGGCGACGGCTTCGGGAGGAGACGTGCTTTGGGTGAGACTCCAAGACTACGCAGATGAATTCAGGATTCATGTCGAGCAAGTTAGGTGCAGAATGCCTTTGACCAAGCACTACGGGTGGTTTCCTTAGCAACCTACTACTAAGTTACTACATACAGAGTTGTTGCTTCCCCGACTGTGCCGGAAGTTCTGAAGAGAGTGGAAGATGATCGGCCAATGGCAACATGGACAGCAAAGATTTTGAGTACCTTGCAACTCAATGCGTTTGAGCTTGCAGATAGGGCTTTTTCCTGGACGCAGACAGGGGAGGTTGAGTTTGGTACAGTGCTCGTCCCAGGGGTGTGTCGGTGACAATGAGTTCACCTTTTCGAGAGGATGCACTTGTTAGTGAACAAGAGAACTACGTGCAATTCTTGGCACTCAGCCGCGTGACGCACAGGACACACTCCACGCGCCAAAGCAGGCAAGCGGACAGATCGGAAACCGACTCAGTGGCCTGGCCGAATTCTACCCGCTCAGAGCGCTTTACTGAGCCAGAGGATGTCTGTTGGAATGGCCGCGTTGCTGAGGTCCCTGGTGACCTGCATTTGCCCTGGACTAGGTGTTCAGGACTAGCGAGAAATGCGCGAAAAGGCACGCGCCCGCGAGAGAGAGAGAGAGAGAGAGCGAGTGTGATCATTTTCGCAAGATGGCAGTCAGGCCAAGCTCATTGAGCTTCAGTGTCAGAGGTAGTCACAGTGTTGCTCGCCGTTTTGGGTGAGATGTTCGGTGTTTATTCGCAGTTGTGAAAGCGGAGAAGCTCATCCTTCCCTAAGGAAAGGCTACGTGCAGTATGGAGTGGACCAGACCTGCAAGGCTCTCGCCAGGCCGGATTGATGCAGGGCGTTTCCCCTCCAAGAGTGGCTTAAACATCACCTTTTGGGCTGGTTCTAGGTGAGGAACCCTTGGTGGGGTGATGTCTAAAGGGGAGATATAGGGAGCCCTCTGACGAGCATCATACACCCACGGGGCTGTACCATACACATCGCCACAGTAGTGCTGCTGTCCTCCAAACCTTCGAGTGTCGACTGCGTTCTCAAAACCTATCAGCCACTCTTCGGGCCAGGGGACAACCCAAGAGGATCGTGTGATGCTAACCCTACACTCACACCAACCAGAGCAACCTAAGACCAATCCTACAGCAACCCGAGCTAATCCTTGTCAAACAAATCAACCCTAAACCGGCCTTGCACCGATCCAAAGGCCAGCCCTCAAGCAACCCTCAGCGCGCCTTAAACCAACCCAAAAGCCCAACCTAAAGCCAGTGCTTGAGTTTATTCTTCATGCTTTGAGCGTGGAAGGCTTGGGCGAGCGAGCCAAACTGGCCAGCGCCATTTTTTTCATTTTCCCAACCCCCAGCCTGACCTTCAGCAGCTTGTTGTTTTAAAGGCTCTTGTAGCAGACGCTCACGCACCTGATGGATTGTATTGATGGTTATTTTGTGTTTCGCAGGCTTAGAGTTTTTCTGATTGCTGGGGCTGGCGTGTGTGTATGTGCCCCAGATCCTCGCACCCGTGCCCACAAAACTGCATTGAAGTCCCGTTGCAAAGTCGCTCAACTTCATCCAGTCGTGATGCAAGCTACCACAACCTGGTGTTGCCATGTTGAGGCGAATCAAACATCCGCCGGAAGCCACAGCGTGCTCAATTCTGGCCAACGGCAGCCCATGGGTTCTAAAACGCGATGCAAGTGCGGGCGTGCGGGCGCCGATTTGTGAGCGCGCGAGATGCGCAAACCTTGCCAGGGTCATGCCCAGCCCCGGACTCCGGCATATTGCATCTCGGCCAATCTCAAGGCCACGAGCATCCCATATTGGCATGGACCATGGATGGAGGGGCTTCTAAGATTGGTGAACCCGTCAAATGCTTTGCAGTCTTTTTGTTTTCTCTTGTTTGCCTTTCAAATTGCCCCCCCCGACATGCACAGATAGGCCTTGATAGCTTGCAGGCACAGCATTGTGCAGTTCACAATCATAGCGGCGTGTTGCGAGGTCGAAGTTGCCCGGCCTGGACTTCATAACTTGATGACGGCACCTGCCTTACCGCAGCCATCCTCCACCTCGCCACACCTTAGCCAAGTGGAGTTCGGATGCAGTTTACGTTTGACTGGGAAGCACAGAATAGCCCACACATGTGAAGCAGGGCCTAAGCACTTGCATCAAGAGGCCGATCCCTTTTTGGGATCCTTGGCCAATAAATACTCCCTTTGAAAGGGTTGATCCATGCCCATCAATTTCATGACGCCTCGCCCAGGGCCTGCTGCTGTTCTTCTCTGTGAACCTGTCTGAAGCTTGAGTTTAAGACATGAAACATATGCCATGGGACGGCTGGACCATGACATGTGCGTTTTCGCATGACATGTCTCATGTCCAGAAATGGTTGAGGCATTGTGTACCTCTATTTTCTCTCCAGAAGTCCATTCGCGCTGCCGGAATTCCGCAATACTCGCACTGCAACACCCCGTTCTTTCCATCAAGGTATTCTGAAGGGATGGAGAAACCAACAAAGGCATAGTTTGGGGACGGAACTCTGCGTCCCCTGCGTGAGAGCGAGCGAGGCTCGCTTCCGCCGTGCCGCAGCAAGCCAAGTTCGTGCTGCCGGACAAGCTGAAGGCAGGGGAAAGCCGCACGCTCGCGAGCTTGGGTTGCCATGGTCAAAAGTCCCACTTGGTTGGGATGGCCATGGACTCCTTGTGGATGTTAGACCATTGTAAGCGTTCCTTAAACACGAAAACATGACCATAGCCTCACAAGGCGTTTTGACCGTGACACAAACCCACAGGATTGTATGTTTGTAATGCTATGCCCACCCGCATGTCCAGCAATCATGTTCGAACAAGGTGGGCAAAGCTCAAGCTACTGTAGTTGCCTTTTCCAAGTTTTTAGTTGTGCTTCGCAGGATATTTTGGCAGGGTGGCGCCTGAACATGTCTGAAGTAGATGTGTTTGGACTGCGATTCACATGGCTTGTTGTTGAGGCTTTGGACCCGAACAGAGATGGCGTGCTCACTGGGCCGGAGGTTGAGCCGCGGTCCTGGTGGACAGAAGGGAACTGGAACACTGACTGAATCGCAGCCCGTGCCAGTAATTAGGAAAGCAAGGTATACAGTCACCACATAGAGCCCTAGCATGGAGTTCCCATTTCAGATTTGATGAGGCTCATCGGCAAACTCGATGCCTGGATGTTTGAGATGAGCTTCTAAAGACTGCTCCATATGCATCTTGGATCCAGTCAAAACAGCTTTAGGATGGCTTCAAGTGGACAACGGATAGTGCTCAGCACACTTTGCCGCTGTGACGGATCACGGCATTCTTCTCAAACCGGCTCTAGTTTCTACTTGTGGGTGAGCTCCTTACAATTTCTGGCTGTAGCCATTTGCCTCTCTGGCCCAATTCGTGCCCAGTGGAGTGGATTCGTGCAGATTCAGTTTGCTCCGGGTGCTGAGGGAACTGGTGCGCAATTTCTCACTGAAGCTGTTTTCTGCGTCTTGGCGGCAAGCAGACGGCCAACAATCTATGGAGCTCACATGGAGTATTATCATCACATAAATGTTTGTATCTGGTGAGCCCGGCCCAGTGCCCTCTGCCCTGCAACCGGACGCATGCCCCCCCGGTAAAAGCGAATGTCGCGATTTCAATGTCCAAACTTGAGACAGCGAACTTGCATTTTTGGGCCCGGCTTGACTCGTGCCTCGTTTGGCTTTTTTTGTTGACCAAAGTGGTCGACGCCTGTCGACGCCTGTGTGTGTATGTCAAGGAAGCGCTTTTCCGCTTGCTAAACGGTTTGAAGTTTGCTCCAGCATCACCAGTGGTTTAGCAAAGGAAATGCTTCTCCACTTACTAGAAGGATGGTTGCTGTTCCGCTTACTCAAACAGATGGCACGGTTTCCAAACTCGACCTTTGGAAGGCATTCGACGGTATTAAACATTTTTACATAACTAGGCACAAATCGTTATCGAGCCTCATCACCAGTGATGTGGCGAAAAATAACAATTGTTTGCTCACTAAAAGTAGATGTCGCTCTGGCTAAAGTGCTCGCTCTGGCTAAAGTGGTCGACACCCCAGCATCACTAGTGCTGTAAACTACATAGGTCGACACCCCAGCATCACCAGTGCTTGGTTAAGGAGAATGTTTTTCCGAAGACTAAACAGTTGCACACCTAGACCGATTCAGCATTCACTCGTGTGCGTTAAGCAGGGGAGTCGTTTGCAGTTGGAGTGTTTTGTGCCAAGAGGACAGGAAGATCACCACGAGCACTTTGGACAGAAGATCAAGTCGGGGAGACTGGAATAAAAGTGACACTGGGTGGACCTATATAGATATGTATGATGTCAGATTGCAGCTGGCTGCTTCATTCTGATGAACAGCCCCCATTCACCAGGTGCTTTTCTACTTGGAAAGCGGGTTGTTCGGCATGGCTGCCCTCCAGAAGCCCAAGGACTATCAGGCGCTGTAGTCGGCGTTGGCGAGCGACGTGGAGGGACCTGCTGATGTGGCGCCGCTTGAGGCGCCGAGACTGTTTATACGTCTCACACGTATGACATACACTCGTCCAGCTATGGGGTCTAAGGCTCGGCCTGGACATTGTCACTGTGTCGTCAGCTTGATGAAGATCGGGAGTGGTGTCCCAGTCCCGGTGGCATGCTGGTGGTCTCGTGGAGTTTTAGTCGCACCGCGGTGGCGTTCTGGTTGCGTTTTGCCCGGTGGTGCTCGGTCCGTTGTATCCCGGTGGTCGTTGCAGGTTTGGGTCTTCCGGTGGGATTGGTCGGTTTAGTTTTGTTCAGGAGTTTTTGCGGTGTCCCTGTGGCGTTTTGGTTGTGTCCAGGAGTAACTTGGCTGGTGGAGTTTAGGTGGTGTCCTTGTTGTGGTTTGGTGGTGTCGCGGTGGCTCAGTGGGTGTTCTGGTCTCGCGGTAGTGTTTTTGGTGGTGTCCCAGTAGCGTTTTGATAGTGGACCGTATATGAGTATTTAGGTGCTCTGTTGGTTAGAGTTCCGATGGTGTGTTGGTATTGCCCAGTGGTGTTCTGTGGTCTTTGCCTTTTCTGTTTTTGTCTCTGCGCCACACACCCACACTGACCCAGCATCCCACGCAAAACTCAAAATGACAAAGGACGGCCGCCGAGAGCCTCACCGCGAAAGAGAAGTTGACACCCAAAGAGCAGTTGCTTTGGGGAGGGTCTCAATGGCAATCATGCATTCCTATTGACATTTTTCTGAGTGGCATGTGGACACTTTCGGCCAGGCACAGGGAAAAGATGTGCAGGGCTCAGGCGTCGCTTTCATTGATCCAGCGCTGGTGTTTCTTTTTGGATTTGACAAGTTTTTCAAGTAGTCTGAGCCGGGGGATACTGCGGATGCAACCCGGCTAGGCGCGTGAATCTGAAGTTTCGAGCATCCTGCACCTCACGAGTTGTTCATTTCCTCAAACCACTACCTCCAAAGGAATCAGCGGGAGAAATACACTGGTCAGGTTCATAATCGGGCATACTGCATCATCGTGGGTGTGTGTTGCTAGCCATGTTACATTTGTTTGACCCATGCCAGATCCTGTCAGCTGCGCTTGGGAGCCTCACCAGACAAGAATGTATCCTTTTGGCGGCTGAAACATTTGGTGTCGATCAAGGGGAATTATGATGGTTCGGCGCCTTTGGAGAATGACACTCCACTTCACCATGACTCATGACCAATCCAAGGGCGTATGAACCAATCATGGCCCTGGCACATTGTAGACTTGCCGCGCCGTCCCGAGGTCTTGGACAAGTACTGGAGGCTGTGGATTCGGATGGATCGCTTTGTTCAAGTGAGTCGAAAAAAAAAAAAAAAAAAAACGTTGTATGTGTCAATGTAAGGCATGATCCCAGGTCTTTTGGACCTATCAAATTAGCTGCACCGCCGCTTGTAATTTGAATGGCAGGACTGTGTTGCAGGAGCGGCCGCGCAAGTCAAACATGGGGCCGCGCAAGTAAAGCGCAAGTGAAGCGCAAGTGACGCAGTGATGATTCATCATCATCATCATCATCATCATCATCATCATCATCATCATCATCATCATCATCATCATCATCCGCATGGTCGAAAGAATCCGGAAGATTGCTAAATTTTCGCGCAAGTCGCGCGCAAGTCGCGCGCAAGTCGCGCGCAAGTCGTAGATGCCTTGGATCAGGAGTGGCCCATTTCTGTAGTTTGCATTTTCTTTGTTTCTGCAGATCCCAGCAATGAGTTGCAGCAGCCAGCAGCAGCAGCAGCAGCAGCAGCAGCAGCAGCAGCAGCAGCAGCAGCAGCAGCCAGCAGCAGCAGCAGCCAGCAGCAGCAGCAGCAGCAGCAGCAGCAGCAGCAGCAGCAGCAGCCAGCAGCAGCAGCAGCAGCAGCAGCAGCAGCAGCAGCAGCAGCAGCAGCAGCAGCAGCAGCAGCAGCAGCAGCCAGCAGCAGCAGCCAGCAACAATTTGCAGCGGTGTACACACCTGAGACCTCATACGCTTAAGGGGCATGTTTTTGGGGGACCTCACTCTTATGAAGACCGCCGCTTGGATTTGCAATGAAAACATCCTGGGATAAGAGTTTTAATACGGTTTTTTTTTTCCAGCTCAAGTGCTGCAACCCAGACGAATAGGACCTTCTCTCCTTTTGGTGTTCGACGTTGTGATCCATGTTTAGTCATTGCCAGAAGAGCTAATCTATTGCAGATATTTTTTGGTATGTAAGAGTCGCAACTGGCAACCAATGGCCGATTCATAGCATCACTGCCGCTGGGCAACACGCGTCGCCTGTCGCACGGTGTTGAGCAGCGAGGATACTGCTGCTGTTTCCATAAAATGCGGGTCTTGCAGCAAGCAACTTGCCAGGGGCGCTGGGTGGTGGCTGGTCCCATTTTCGTTTTGGTTTCCCTTTCAAGAGCCACAAAATTGGATGAGTTCCTAGAAATTCAGATGTTTTGTTCTTCCTTGTCCGAAGCCTTGTCCGGAGGTCTGGGTCTTATTGAAACCCTAATCACTCCACCATTATACCTCGCTGGCAGGGTCTCTTTTCGGGGCTACGGAAGGAGTAAGCGAGATCGAAAGAAAACTTGGGGGTCGAGCGTGCCAGGGAGCTGGATTACAGGAAGCCCAAGGCGGTGCTCCTGTTCCTGGCCCTGTGCGCAACCCAAGAGCTTCCAGCGCGAGCGACGGTGTGAAAGGGGTCAAATGTGTTCCATAAAGCCCGTTCGCTGCCCTTTCGCAGGTGGGGACACAACGAATGTGTGGGGTTTGCTTGTTCGTGCTTTTGGCTCACCATCCAAAGGTTCCAATTTTCGGACACCAAACAGGGAATGTGCTCGATGCACCGGACAAAAAACAGCAACAGGTGGAATGTACTGCAATCCAGAAAGAGGCTTTTGTTTGTCTGTTTGTCTGTCTGGCTGGTGGCTGGCTGTCTGCAACTACACAAAATGAAGATGTGTGCGGGCAGTTGCTTTGCATTATATATGGGCCTCTGTGAGCACGTTGTGGTTGCAGATGGCGAAACACATCACAGCCACGGCCAAACAATTGAAGCACCCACGAAAGGAACGCCGCCATCGTCTCCACCACGGCAAGCGGCTGCCTGCGCGCTTGGGGGCTATCTCCGAGGACGGTGCGTTTGAAGCTGAGGGATCAACGTCTCTTTCTGGCGGGCTTGTTCAGGGTTCCCTATACTTCCCCTTTGGTGGTTTTGGACATCACCTTTCGGGCCGAGTGTTATCCTAAGTTTTCTTTTTGGCGAGGTGATGTGTGAGGGAGAAATATAGGGAGCCCTGTTACCCTGAGGAGCATCTTAGCTTTGGGCGGCGTGGGCGGTCTGGCTTTCGGCCTTGCAGCTCAGAATCTGGTGGGCAACTTCATGGGAGGCTGGCTCCGACTCATCTGCTTACCTGTCAGGATAGGACTTGCCCTTGGAAGAAATAGGATACTGAAAAAATGCCCAGGGGTGACTTG